CATTTTGCTCACAGAATTTTCGAGCGTCAGCCAACGTGATATCTTTCTTTTCCAACATCTTACGTTGTACTAAGATGTTGTTGATTCCAGCGATGAGATGGCCACAAAGTTGTTCTTCCAATCGGTCACAATAGTTGCATTTTGCCGCCTGTTTGTTCAACTGGAGAATCAATTCACGGCACGGCATATTGGCAGCTCTGATCACTGAGTTGAATTTGGCCCGTTCAGTGGCCTGAAAATCCACTGGGAGAATGTGGTCCAGTAATAGGGTTTTCAAATTCTCGAACGGCAATTCAGCAGGAACATTCCGGAATGCTGGATTATTCACCAGGGAATACAGCTCTCGGCCGCCCAACGTCAAAAATAGGACCGACTGAATGTGCATTCCTCCTTTCCCGATGCCGTACCATAATTCTAAACGTTCTACCCATTCTTCGATTTCTGATGGGCTTCCGTGCAGATTCGATGGTTCAATGGCAGGAATCTCCATTGCACGACGCCAAATTGTTGTAATCGGAATAGTATTGAATTTAGGAATACGAGAATCCGTACTGCACTGCTCAGAACTGAATTGGCTCCAACCCAAACTGCGGACGCCAATGAAATACACGAGGAATTGATGGCAGCAAATGATTATGTTTATTGATGGAATTAGATCATGTTTTATAGAATGTAATGGTCCATATAATTCGTTGAAGGGCCGTCGTCCAATCACGTAACCGTTTGCACCGACGTATCATATGTGCTAACTCGGATGTCATGTTCGCTCGGTGCACCATTGGTTGAGCTACCTGAACGGTAATTGGATAACATAAAACTGTACCTAGTCGTGCATGGATTGCGGTCACGGAAGTCTGGATCACCGCAGTACTGTACTATATTATTTCCTGGTTAAATAGTGTTTTGTAACTTACCCCATTGCCGTACACTGATTTTTCTTTCAATTTGTCACTTAGGGCTTTGCACCCCTCAAATTTTCAATAGACACATCAACTTTTGTTCTCCATATTGGTAATATACCTTCTGAGAAATGTGAATTCTATTTGTATTTCCCGGAGTTCGTCGGCTAAATTAGCGGCCGTTTTTTGAAAAATATCAAGAAACTAATCGTAAGATGAAGTCGTACTCAGCATGGCATTTTGGTTTTCATTGAGGTTAGCCTACACGTTGTGAATTTCTTTAAATTCCGTTGACTTGGTCGACGGTTCAGTCTTACTCCGGTTGGTAAAAGGCATACTTTTGAACGTTTAATGAGGTTAAAATATTTTGATTTTACTGTTTCCTAGTTGTTGGCATAAACTTCGGGGAACTGGTTTCCGGTGATGGGCTTGTCGAAACTAACCTGAACGTGTAAAAAATCATGATGATAAACTCACCTACTTGCTGATGTGCAGGTCTGTAACACCATCACCGGATCTTCAGGAGAGAAGAAATGACGTGGAAGCACAGATGGTACCAGTTTCGGTGGTTGTGTTCAGTCTAAATTCGTAATAACGGCACTTTTTTCGGCCCTTCCTCCGTGTAGATTGAATCACTAATGATCCGGTGTTTCTTCCTGAAAATTGTTAACGACTTTACAAAGCATTCTCGGTCGCCTTTTGTCGCATGTTTTCATGTGAACGGTTGCACCTGTCTAGACGTTGGTGATTTCACTCATACAAGTATTTCTCTCCTGCTTCCGTTTCGTCTGTCTGACATTTCTCACTATTCTACCAGAGGTAGTTCTGTGCTGGACAGATTGATCACGAACCATCCCAACTTGTTCTCTCTCAAACTATTCGTCTGCACTTGATTCTGTTCTCCGATACTCCTTCTTTTCAAACTTGAATCTTTCGGCACTGCAGAACAATTGCTTTCATGGCTTGCTGACTATTTCACAGAGAGACTCCAGTGCATCAAATTATGAAGGAGGATATAAAAACCTCTTGTCAATAATTCTAGTGTTCTTCAACGTGCTGTTCTATCTCCATATCTTTATTCTGCTTTTATTAGTGATCCTACGGTCCCACCCCCTGCGCACAATCAAAAGTATATTCATGAAGTTGTTTTATCTCAGACAGTTTCAGCTCCTTCGGAATAGCATTCTTTTAACAAAAATCTATCCCACATCCAACAGTTTTCTGACTAATCTGGTCTCAGTCTTAACATATCTAAGTGCGTAGAGTGTATTTTCAGTCTTTCCCGCTCCGTATTCCTAAAGGACTCTGCCACCCTTATCGGTAAACTTGTACCCAGAATGACCCCAGTCAAGTACGTCAGTGTCACCATCGACAGCAATCTTCCTTGGTCTACAAATATTTACAACCGCATGGGAAAACTGAGGAGCCTATTTTTACAGTTACGCAAAATCAGGCAATTCCGAACCATAAAGTTTGTCCTGTCATCTTCGTTCATCAATGCGTTTCACCTATCCTACTCTATTGCTATCCTGCAGTGTTTTCCAGTCTTTTAAAACAGAACTTCAAAACAATTCGTCGTGTTTTGGTGATTATCAGTCGTGCATCATTAATTCCGATGGATTCATTATTCACATATCTCATTGATGGTTACATCAACTCTTATTTTAAATTTGCTCGTAAGATTCTAGATAACTCTCTTCCTCCACTATACTCGACTACACCCGTCGGATTCACGAGGTAGCCGACCGTTAACCTGTGCCAAGGTTGCGGGATGTTGCTTGGAAAAAGAGTTCACGACTAGCCCAGAAGCCGCGTTATCCCTCTTGCATAAGGAAGTGAATCCGGTTTCATTGAAGAGTTTGAAAACAAAAGACCGACCGGGCACCCGGAACTTACTTTGAGTGTCAAAACCAGTTGCTAGCGGAGCACAATAGGTTCTCGGTATCCTACACAAACGCATGTAGTGTAAGGAAAAGGTAGAATGAACTCCGAGTTGAGGCCTCAGGTTGCGCTTGCATAACAATCACAGAGTCTTGGCTGAAAAGAGACTTTCCTCTAGTTACCGCAGTTTACTTGGTCCACAGTATACACCGAATTGATAGGGGGATGGAAGAGTAGGAGTTGGAGTTGCCCTACTAAAAGAGGAGAGCACTGTGTGTTTCCCGAATAGGTCAACGAGTAACGCATAGCCAACATTGTATCCAAAAACGTCAACGAAAAGAATGATCGAGTAAAATCTTACGGTACTGCATTGGTAAACGAGCAAACGAGCAAATGAAATATGTACAACCATCAAAGGTGATCTCAGAACAACCTGAAAACAAGAGCCAAGTGTTATCGTGAGCGTAATTCAATGATTTGGAACGGAAGAAATGAGTCTGGACGGGAATAGCATGCTCATCGTCACGCTGCACTCGAATGGGTGAAAGTGAGCGGTAAGGTTGCGAATAGAAAAGAACTCGGGTCCGGACGAAGCACAAGGAAACTCAGTCAAATAATGGGACAGCTCAGGTTAACCACAAGCCGTTTTCCATCGCTACCCAAAAAGATTCCTCAATTATTGGCGTTCCCGGTCTCCTCCGCTGCTTTTCCTTCCAAGGGCAGATTCAAAGGATGTCCCACAGGGTTTTGTCAGCTGCCTTCTTCACTTTCACCGTACGTACGAGTTCAACTTTGTCCGGCAGTGCCCAAAGTTTCATCGTCGATGGTCTGCTGATTGCATACTGCTAGTATTATCTTTCTCACCGATCTTATCCTACGTTCCCACACTTCCCCCATATGGCTGGCGTACGATGATTTGAAGTGCCAACGAATACCTTGGAAGTCCAATCACTTGCGTAGTTCACTCTGGTCAACGCGTGACAGCCACCGTTGCAGCTCATTGGATGAGCCAAAGAAATTGGAACCATTCTCGCAGTAGATGTTGGTAGGGACTCAGCGTCTGCTGATCAACCTTTGGAGAGTAAATAGTAAGGATTGAGTAGGTAGGTTGTGGGCCATTTCTAGGCGCAATGCAGAACCGCATGCAAGTAAATAAGCAACTGTATCGCTTCGCAATTGATCATCCGTATTTCACCACCAGGGGACCGAATTAGTCTACTTCCGTCACCGCAAGTGGCCAACAACCCGTGTTGCAGCCGCCATTTCGGAACTGTCTTACACGCGTATCACTCAACCGATCAACTTTGCTATCCCAAAATTTGTACGTTTTTTTATCGGAAACCCAACGGTAAACCAAAATATTCAACAATAATAGAACACAACGAACACCGATCAATGGTGGGATCACGCATAATCCGGTATCTGAAAATGCATAATGATACAGTAATTTTCGTATGCATACTTGACCATGATACTCAGTAGGCGGACCGTACAATGATAAACGAACAAGTGGAGTGCTAATGCTCAACGGAGCGGAATCAAACGAAAACCGAAACCGTTATGTTTTACAGGAATAATACTAAATGGCAGAGATAAACAAAGACCAGAATAAAAGAAAGAAGAGATAACGGTACTCACAAAAACCTATTTGAGTAATCAAAATGTTGTTTTCATTATCATCCACGGTGCTTCAGTCGCCGTAGCACTCCCCTCCGGAAAGCTACTCAGCTTTAATATACTAAACATCCGTGATAAAAATGTAATTGTTTGCGAACAATTTAAATTTACATCTGAAATAAATACACATGGCGAACAAATACTTGTGAATAATAACATTAATGTGATTGATAAGGGGCACCTCGTGCGGAACCATGGTTCGCACCCGACCAGCGCTTCTTCTTTGTACATACTTTCATCTACCAAATGCCTCTATTCTCGTCAGCCCCAGAATTCCGAACAATTGCAATAGATCTTCTCGAACGAGAGAGGTGTGAGCCCCGCTGTCTAACAGTTCACTGAACCTTTTGGTCCTTCTACGAAAACTGGTATCACGCCTAGGCTTACACACACCGTAGCAGGTAACCTCTGATAAAAGTCATTTGGGACGTGTGTTCCATCCGTGTTTGAATGAAGAAGCCTACGATTTGGCTTATCGCAGTCCTCCTCTGTTTTATATTCTCAACCTTACCGCTCACTTTCACCCATTCGAGTGCAGCGTGACGATGAGCATGCTATTCCC